ACCACCTTTTTCCTACGGGGCGCCCGGACGTTTAAACGACGCCTTCCGCCACTCCTCCACCACGCCGACCCACCCAACGGTCGACCCTCCCCTCCCCCTCCCTCCCCTCCCCCTCCCCCTCCCTTCCCTCCCCCTTCCCTCCCCTCCCCCTCCCCCTCCCCCTCCCTCCCCTCCCCCCTCCTCCCCACCTCCCCTTCCCCCTCCTCCTCTCCCCCTTCTCTCCTCCTCCGGCTCAGTCAAAGTTCGGCAGGTCATGAATGGCGAAACTTTACTCAACTCGCTTGGACATGTTCCAGCCAACATGTCGGTTCCCTTCCCCCGTCTCCTCTCTATCTACACTTCACCAGCTTCTTCGCCCTCCCTCTGTGCTTCAGTTGGCCCTTCCTTTGTCAACTCCCCGTCCTCGGCTCCTCACCTTGCCTTCTCCCTCCTCTCTCTCCTTCCTCTCTCCTTCCTCTCTCCTTCCTCTCTTCTCACTCTCTGTCTGCAGGTTGAAAACTTTCACCATCTCCAAGTGAAGCAGCAGCGGCTGCTCTAGTCATCCTGATACTCGGCGAGCTCCTTGATGAGAGCGGGTTTATCGAAATCAGATTCCTGAAACCAAGACGATGAGTCCGCAAAGAAGCTTGAGAGCAGGAGCAGGGGCAGGGGCAGGGAAAGCAGGAGGGGAGAAGGGGGGAGAGGAGGAGGAACAGGAGAAGGGTGGGGTTTGGGGTACCTCTTCGGCTTCTGCAGCAGCGTCAAGGTGAGGATGCTCGTGTTCGGGGAAGGGATTCTCGATGTCTTGGCTGCCCTGAGTGAGGGCGATGGCGAGGACCGACTTGCCATGCACGAAGCAGGAGCCGAGGTACTTTGTCTTTCCCCTCCAGATGTCCGGGTCGATGCTCTTGAAGATGTGATTGTCTTCCTTGTGCTCCCCCTCGTGCACCAGCTCTGTCGCGTTCTCCAAGATGAAGTTGCCGAGAGCGTCGAAGGATCGCATGTAGCCCATGTACTCGCCCCCGCCCTCCACCTCCACCAGCACCTCCTGGCCCAAGAAATCCTCGTACACCTCCTCGTCACCTGCGTACTTCAAGCTCCTGCCCGTCTGTCGCTGTCGGGGTTTATGAGAAACACCGGAGGCCTTGAAGGTCTCGTTCCCTGCCTGATCCTCCCCACCTCCTCGAAGTGTTGGGGGCGGAGCCGCGAGCGAGCGAGGAAGACGGTGAGGACGACGAACGAAGGAAGAAGAGGCGGCAGGTGGAGGAGGAGTAGAACTAAGAGCAGGAACAGCAGCAGCAGCAGCAAGAGGGTCGCTAGGAGGAAGCAGCATCGCGCACTGGCCGCTCATCAACGCCATGAGCATCAGCAGTCGCAGCGCCATGCCTTCCGTCCCCTCACCTTCCATCCCATACCCAGCCTTCAAAACGTATCTACCCCCACCCCTACGATGACCCACCATTACCCCACCCCCAGAGGGAGTGACGATGGCGCGAGCGGCGTCGACCATCTGGAGGTTCAGCGGGCGGGCGAGGGCCGGGAGGTTCAGCTGCCTCATGGGGCTGCGAGAGCCGCAGGATGGCGGAGAGCTCGAGGTGCGTCGCATCGACCAGCATGAGAGCCTCGTCGCCGCTCGCGTCCCCTCGTGGTCCTGCAACCCTGACGGTCGCGTCTGCCTCTCCGCCGTCACCGCCATGTTCGACGAGATCAGCACGGTGGCGGGATGCGCCGCATGGGACAGGTCGATGAGGACAGGCCTCAGCGTTCAGCTCTTCTCTCGCGCTCACAGGAGCCTCGACGTGGGGAGCGGGGACAAGCTCGTGTTCACCACTAAGCTGCGCAAGATCGGAAAGACGTTGGGGTTCGTGGACGGAGAAGTCGCGACAGAGGCAGGAGTCACTCTAGCCAACATGCGGCACATCAAGTTCATGCCCATGGGCAGCTTCTACGCCTTCATAGCCCATCCCCTCATGCAGCCCACCACCCTGGCAGTGCTCAACGCCTTTCTCTCTCTCCGCCCCCTGCAGCACGATCGCGTGCCGCAGAGCAAGGAGGAGCTGTTTCCTCTCCGCAACCTCAGAACCGAGGGATCCAGCAGTTTTGCCGACACCTCCATCACAGACAGGCACGCGACGGCTCTCGGGGGCATCCATGGCGGCGCAGGCGTCATGCTCCTGACGCGCATGGCGGCGGCTGGAGCAGAGAGGGACCTGACGCTGCCCATCCCCATACGCTCCATCTCGACCAACCTCATCAACAGCGTCCCCACCCGCGTAGGGAGGGAGACGGAAGTCCAGCTGGAGTCGAGCTTGTGCTTGGGGAGCGGCTTGCCGGACTACTCGTACGTGATGATCAAGAAGGAGGGAAAGATCATGATGGACTCGTCGATCTTCTGGGGGATGCGATGAGCATGTGGCAAGAATAGATCACGCAGATCAGAACCTCCTCCTCTCTCCTCCTCCTCCTCCTCCTCTCTCCTCCTCCCCTTCCCTCTCTCCTCCTCCCCTTCCTCCTCCTGCTCGTTCTCCTCCTTCCAGTCCAGCCTTCTCTGTCACTCCTTCCTTCCACCAACAATCCCAGGCCTGTGCCATCTTCCACGTGCCGACTCTCCTCCCTCCCGTCCTCCTCCCTCCCGTCCTCCTCCCTCCCGTCCTCCGCCCTCCAGTCCTTCTCCCTTTCCTCTCCCTTGTTGATGGTCGAGGAGCGACGTCGGTACGCGCAGGTTCACTGAAACTTATTTACACGATTTGTTACCCCTCATGCCGCCTGAAGCGACCTTAGTAAGCCTGAGGAGGTGAGAGAGGAAGAGCTTAACCTGATTGAAAGGGATCCAACCCCTTTGAGCGACGAGCCTTCGCTTCCACACGTTCAGCTCCTTGTCCATCTTCTGGATCTTGTCGTCGACGATTTGGATCTGATGAGAGACCTTGTTCTGCATCTTATGTCAGCACCTCCCCTCAGCCTCCTACTTCACCTCGTCGCTCCTCGTCTTCCCCTCCCTGTCAATGGCGTCTTGAGCCTTCGCTCCTGACTCCTGCCACACGCTCATATTCAGCTTCACACCAGTCTCAGCCTGTGCGACTCCACCAGCGCGAAGAAAGCGACTCCTTGCGCTCGACGGAACGCTTCCTTGGCTGCCGCACGTCTCGCAGCAAGCCTCTTCTTGACGCTCTTGGCATCTGCCAGCGCTTGTGCTGCCAGGCGCTCCGCCTTGTCCGACTCCTCCTCCAACCCGTTGGCCTTCACTGACCGAGTCAGTTCGCCTTGCCTGCCTCACAGTGACGCACCTTGTCCGTGCTCACCCGCTCCTTGTGCACAATCGCCTGCAGCTTCTTCACCTCATCTCTCACCTGCCTCATTGCTCAACAAGATCTCAGAAGCCTGCGCACATCGCCCTTGCCTTGAGGTAAGCAGCTGCCGCCTCCTCAAGCGTTTGCTTGCTCCTTGCCGAGTCTTTCTTGGCCTATGCGAGGGTGAGACAAGCCAGGCAACGCAGACTGGACCTGTTTGAGCAGCTCAACCTTGTCGAGGCTCAGAACTCGAGGCGACAGTCTGAAGAGCAAGTCAACGAGGGAGGGAAAGGCTGCACGAGCAGACATGCGGCTGTGCATCTGCTGGACTCCTTTCACCAGCACAGAATCCTGAAGGGTGAGTGAGTGAGTGAGTGAGTGAGTGAGTGAGACAGCGCAAGAGATGATACCCCATCCCCGCCGTGTCGTTGAGCATCCTTTGACATCAGCACCAGCTGCCATTAGAGTCACCTTGTGCTTCCAGACAACCACACGCTACCTGGTGCGATGAAGATGAAACGACGACTGCCAGTGCCAAGACAATCGCTGCTAGATCAGCTTAAAATACACACACACACACACACACCAGACAACAGTTATTAGATGAGGTTACAACAACGCGACTAGATCTGTGCAGCCATTTCGCGTCAAGCCTCACCTGCCGCACTAGCCGCCAACTGCCACTTGTTGCCAGCGCTGCCGCAATCTCAGTGAAGATGTTCTCGTCAGAAGCGAAGCTGCCACCTTGTAAGATCTCGATAATGCGGCGGTAACAAGGGGCCCATCTGAGCATGCAATCAGACATCCTTGGCTCCAGCAAGTTCCCTAGCAGCAAACTAGTTCCTCCTCCAACTCCTTTCTTTCTTCTAGCGTCTTCCTCCTGAACATTCACCATCGACTTCCCCCTCTCCCTTCTCTCCCATCCTCTTCCCCTTCCCCTTCCCCTCTTCTCTCCGCCACTGATCCGCTCCTCATGCTCCTCCCGATTCTCCTCCTGCATGCTGCCTGCATGCTGGCCTGCATGGCTCTTCGCCCTGTGTAGCTCAGGCATGGTGTTGCACGTTTCTCGAGTGGGCGATGCCTGACCTCCCAGCTAGCTTTATAAAGGTTTTAATCCGATTTTGCGAAGCGACACGAAAACATGCAGGGGAGGAGACGAACGAGGAGAAGTAGAAGCAGGAGGAGGAGGAGGAGGAGGAGCAGTAGAAGGAGAATCAGAAGGAGAAGGAAGAGGAAAAAGAGGTGGGGGGGTAGAGAGATACGAGAGAGAGGGGTTGTGGTGTGTGCCTGCTTAGGTGTGCCAAGGAGGGATAGAGGTGCGAGAGGGGAGGGAGAAGGAGGAGGACAAGAGAGAGGGGAGTGAGAAGGAGGACGACAAGAGAGAGGGGAGTGAGAAGGAGGACGACAAGAGAGAGGGGAGTGAGAAGGAGGACGACAAGAGAGAGGGGAGGGGTTTAGCTTGAGTCTCACGCTTTCTCCTTAGGCGTGTGAAATGGACATACACGAGAGGCTCCGGTCGCCTCACCCAGAGGATGCGTTCCGATCGGAGCGCATGGTCCTGGTGCAGCTTTTGATGGAGCGAGAGGCGGCGCACGACAGTGTAGACGAGCTTGCACGGCTTGAATGCATGCACTTCATCGACAGCGATGCCAACAAGGACAAGACAGCCTTCCAACGCCCGTGGGTGTCAGAAGTGAGACTCTGCGACGACTTGCTCCGACAGCTCCGCCTCTTCCGCGACAAGGCCAGGCGCCTGGGCCTCTCCCTTAACTCCCTCCCCCTCGATGAAGAGCCTGGAAGAGGCTCAGCTGGGCTAGGGGACCTGCACGAGGAGCTGACGGAGCTGGAGCGAGAAATCAAGGAGATGGACGGAAGGCAGCGTTCGATGGATCGAAGTTACCACGAGAAGTTAGAGCACCTGATGGTCGTGCAGCGAGCGGACGAGGAGCTGCTGCGAGCTGAGCCCTCGAGAGTGACGTCAGCGGATGTGGAGGAAGAGACGGGAGCGCTGATGATGGAAGAGGGAGGGAGGGAGGGACAGACCTTGCGGTCCATGTTCGGAGTTCTTCCCGTGGACAAGCGCGAGACCTTCACGCGCGTCATCTGGCGGGTGACGCGAGGCAACGCTATCGTGCACTTCTCCTCAAGACCAGCTGGGATGCGGCAGGCGAGCAGCTCAGGGGAAGCAGAGGAGGTGGAGAAAGTAGCCTTCGCCATCTTCTTCTCCGGTCGAGTGATTGAGGACAAGATCTCCAAGCTCTGCGCGACCATGGAGGCGCATCGGTACCACGTGCCCAAGGGGCTGACGGAGAGAACGAACTTGCTGCGGCAACTGAAGCGCGACATCCAAGACCACGTCGCCATCACTTCTTCCGCCGAGCGGCGACAAGCCGAGCTGGTGGGCAAGCTAGCGCGAAGTCTGGGAGAGAAGGAGAGGATGGTGCTGCAGGAGAAAGCGATCTTCGCGACCATGAACCTGTTCAACACCCTCGTCTCCAATCGCACGGTGATAGCTGAAGGCTGGGTTCCTGTCGAGTCCCTTCCTGCCCTCCGCAGCGCCTTGCAACGAGGGATGAAGCGATCGGGAGCCGCGACGCCTTCAGTGGTTCACGTGCTCAAGGCGGACCTGACGCCTCCCACCTTCATCAAGACCAACAAGCTCACAGAGTCCTTCCAGGCGCTCAACGATGCGTATGGCACTCCCAGGTACCTAGAGCTGAACCCGGTGAGCCGAGGAGGAGGAGGAGGAGAGGAGGAGGAGGGCTGACGTTGACCGGCAGGGGATGTTCTATCCGGTGACCTACTCCTTCCTCTTCGGGATCATGTTCGGAGACATGGGGCATGGCTTTCTCATGCTCCTCGCCGCTATCTTCCTCATCTCTAAGGAGAAGGACTGGGCGGGGAAGCGCCTGCATGAGCTCGTGTCGCCTGCCTTCGGCGGCCGCTACGTGCTCCTCCTCATGTCTCTCTTCTCCATCTACTGCGGTAGCGTCTACAACGAGTGCTTCGGTCAGTCGCTGCTCCCCTGGTCCTACTGGTCCCTCCACCTCCGTGCTGGCAGCTCCTCTTACGATGCTGCTCCCGTCGCGCCCCCGCCCTACGGAGTGGATCCGATTTGGGGGATCGCAGAGAACAAGTTGGGGTATCAGAACTCGTTCAAGATGAAGATCTCTATCATCATCGGAGTGTCGCAGATGGTCTTCGGGTTGGCGTGCAAGACTCTCAACTGCGTCTATTTCCGCAAGTGGAAGGATCTGCTCTTTGAGAACATCCCTGAGTACGTCTTCCTCCTCTCCATCTTCGGCTACCTCTGCTTCCTCATCATCTACAAGTGGTCCACCGACTGGGTTGGCCTTGGCCTCCCAGCTCCTCCCTTGCTGGACACTCTGCTGGGCATGCTGCTTGAGGTTGGAAGTCCTATCCCCAAGGAGCGGCTGCTATATCCTGGTCAAGCCACTGTGCAGACGATCCTAGTCATCGTCGCGCTCATCGCGGTTCCTTGCATGCTCTTCCCGAAGCCGCTACTCATGCAGGCGGAGCACAAGAACGGATACGAGCCGGTGGACGCAGAGGACAACTCGCAGGGGCATGGGGAAGGAGAAGGAGAAGGAGAGTTCGACATGGGGGAGGTGCTGATTCATCAGAGCATTCACACCATCGAGTTCGTCCTCGGCACAGTCTCCAACACAGCTTCCTACCTCCGTCTCTGGGCGCTCTCCCTCGCACATGCCGGTGAAGCCTCAGTCCCTTCCTTCCTCCTGCCTGCCAGTTCGTTTCCTCTCTGACTCCTTCGTAGGCCTATCGGAAGTCTTCTGGGAGCGGGTGAGAGAAGGAGAAGAGGAGGGGAGGGCGTGATGTGCTGGCAGGTTATGCTCGCCGCCCTTGAGCTCGAGGGCGTCAGCGTGTGGGGTCAGGGGCTCGCTGTCTTCTGTGCCTTCGCTGTCTGGGCGTTTATGACCTTCAGGTAGATGAGAGGAGGAGGAGGAGGAGGAGGAGGAGGAAAGCGAACAAGGAGGATGAGAAGGTTGATGAGGACGAGCAGTCGCTAGCAGTGCATGTGGCGATACAGGCGTGACTTGGCTCTCAGTGTGCTGATGGTGATGGAGACGTTGAGCGCGTGTCTGCATGACATTCGTCTACATTGGGTGGAGTTCCAGGTTAACCTACACCTCGTCCCACTTCACCTTCTTGCTGACGACTGACCAGAACAAATTCTACGCGGGTGACGGCTACCCTTTCACTCCTCTCTCCTTCCGAACCTTCGTTGAGGCCTACCAGCTTGAGCATGGCGACGGTTCCTCCTAGAAAAAGCGAGATCATCGATAAAGGCTACATTTCTCCTCTGCTCCCTCCCTCGTCCTCCACCTCTCCACTCGGGGTCAAGGCAGCTGTTGACGAATGGCGTCCTGAGACGCGTGAGAGGCAGCGATAGAGGAGAGAGTGATGAGACCACGATGGCTTGCAGCGCCTGCTGTCCCTTGGAGAGCTTCGCCATCTCCTCCTGCAGAATTGCTGTTAAGCCATCTTCATCCTCATCATCTCCATCATCATCTCCATCTCTATCATCATCTCCATCTCCATCTCCATCATCTCCATATCCATATCCATATCCATATCCATATCCATATCCATATCCATCATCTCCATCATCATCATCTCCATCATCATCATCTTCTTCTTCAGCATCATCATCATCTCCATCATCATCTCCATCATCTCCATCATCTCCATCATCTCCATCTTCTTCTTCAGCATCATCATCATCTCCATCATCATCTCCATCATCATCTCCATCATCTCTATCATCTCCATCATCTCCATCATCATCATCATCATCATCATCATCATCATCATCATCATCATCATCATCATCATCATCATCATCATCATCATCATCATCATCATCATCATCATCATCATCATCATCATCATCATCTGTTGCGCGCACCTCCAGCTCCTCGGGCGTGTGCGTGTGCAATCCCGGCAAGTAAGGTTTTCCTTCCTCGCAGCACCGCATGAGCTCTGGGTCGAGGGGGAGGGACCCGAGAAAGGAGACGTTCCTGACAGCACGTCAGGCAAAGGGGGGGGTGGAGGGTGAGGGAGAAGTAACGCAGGCAGGCAGGTACGCAGGCAGGGGATCGACTGACATCTCATTCGCCATAGCTTGAGCGCCGCCGGTGGTGGGAGGAAAGATGAGGCTCTCAACCCCGCACTTGCGACAGACGAAGCCTGACATGTTCTCCACAACCCCCAGCACCGGCAAGTTCACCTTGCTGCATCCCCATCAGCCTTCTCCCTCCCTCCCTCCTCATCCACATCAGCCTCCTCCCTCCCTCCCTCCTCATCCCCATCGCACTCCTCGTCTCCTCTGACCGGCAGAAGTTGATCTCCTTGCGCACGTCCAGCAACGAGAGCTCCTGCGGGGTTGTGACGATCACAGCCCCGTCCACCTGTGCTCCCTCAGCTCCTCCTCCTCCTCCTCCTCCTCCTCATCCTCATCCTCATCCTTCACCTTACTGCTCGCTAGATACTGCGAGACCGAGAGGTGCTCGTCCGAGGTGCCCTGTGTCCCTGTCAAGGGGCGAGAACAGATGTGGGGGTGAAGGAGCAGCAGCATGGAGAGAACGAGTGCGAGGACGAGGACGAGGGAAGGGTTGAAGCAGCAGATGCCTCACAGGTGGACAGTCGACAATCAAGTAGTCCAGCTCATCACCCCAGCTAACATCCTGCAGGGAGATGAGCTGAAGGAGAGGAGGAGGAGGAGAGCCTTGAGGAACTGCTTGATCATGCCGTTCTTCTTGGGCCCGCGCCAGATGATCGCCTCGTCCGGGTGCTGGAGGAGGAAGCCGATGGAGATGACGCCGAGGTTGTCGAGCGGGTAGACGGGAGCCCAGCCCAGCCCGCTCTGATGCACCTGAGGGAGAGGAGAAGTCACGACGAGGAGCAGCACGCGGCTGCACCTGCTCGCCCTCCACTCCCATCATTTTGGGCTGACTTGGCCCGCAGATGTCAATGTCGAGGAGGCCAACCTGAGGCGCAGTCAGCAAAGACAGGAGGTCGAGGAGGAAGAGGGAGCAAGCAGGGAGAAGGAGAAGGGAGAGGAGGAGGGATGGAAGAGGGAGGGAGGAGGAAAGGGGGAGGGAGGGTCACCTGCACGTCTTTGCCTGCTAGTCCGAATGCAAGTTGAGCAGCAAACGAGCTCTTCCCTACTCCTCCCTGCAGAGAAGCCTGAGACACAACACCTCCTGCTCGCCCCTAGCCCTCACCTTGCCGGACAGCACCAGGATCTTGTGCCTTACGCTCTCCAGTCGCTTACCGATCACCTCCACAGCCTCGTCCTGCTGCTCACTTTCTCTCAAATCTCACTCAACCAGCAACACTCAAACCTTGAGCGCCTCCCCGGACGCGCAAAGCGACTGATTTGGACATCCTGCGCATGCAGACGCCTGCAAGGCATGAGAAGTCGCGATAGCGACGAAGCGGCAGACCTTGCCCGCTTGCTCTGATTGAACCCCCGGACAAGCTGCAGGGACCTCGACGTCCATCACGAGCTGCTCGTCTAAACTAAGTAAGCACGAATATCCTTCTTCTCCTTCCCAGTAGTCATGATTACCATCATCTCCATCATCTATTACATCTCCATCTCCTCCTCCATCTCTTCCTCCATCTACATCTACATCTACCCCTCCCCCTCCCCCTCCCCCCCCCTCCCCTCCTCGTCCTCCTCCCCCCCTGTCCCCCCTACTGCTCCCTGTGGATTGCGCTGCCTGATCCTTTCTCCGGTGGAATGGCTGAGGCGGATTCGTTTTAGGTCTCCTTTGTTTGCTCCGGTTTGCCCTTCTTTTCCAGTCAGTCAAGTAAAAATCTCTCCTGCTCCTGTAGGACATTCTCGTCGAACACACCGCTACCACTGCCGCTGCCGCTACCATGGCCAAGAGAGTTCGAGAGCTGGAGGAGGAGGAGACGAATTCAGCTGTAGAGCAAGAGGCTAGGGGGGTACAAACAAAAGTCAACAAAGCAGATCAAGCCATCACTGCTGCAGTGCAAGAGATCAAGGGAGTTGTGGAAAAGATCAATGGAGTAGTGGACGAGATCAAGGGAGTAGTGGACGAGATCAAGGGAGTAGTGGAAAAGATTAATGGATTAGAGGACGAGATCAAGGGAGTAGAGGCAAAGATTGATGGAGTAGACCAAACCATGGCTGATGTAGAGCAAGAGATCAGCCAGGCACAAGACCCCAATATGAAGCCTGTCTTGATCATGAAACAAACGAAGCTTGAAGGTGAAAAGCAACAGCTTGCGGCCAGAGAGAAACGGCTTCGAGGTGACAAGAAACAGCTTGGAGTTAGAGAGAGACAGCTTCGAGATAAAAAGGCGAAGCTTCGAGAGGAAATGAAGGAAAAGAAGCAGGCAGCTTTTACCTGGACAGAGTCAGAAGCTCGGCTTGACGGTATGGGGTTTTGCAAGGAGGAGAAATACTTCCGTCTAGATTGCTCTTACTTAAGGGGCACAAATGTAAACAGCGGAGAGCAGCTTCTTCTCTACTGCCGAAAAGCCTTCCTGGAGCAGTTCCGTTTCCTGCGAGAGCAAGTGCTAGAGCATGGTGCTCTTGGATGGATACAAGGCTCTCCAGGAACAGGGAAGACAACAACAACTCTTTCGTTTTGTATGACGCTGGATAGGAATGAGTGGAGCTTCAAATGCATCAGGCTGAAGGCCAGAAGCAACACCTGTGTCGTGGAGGTGACAGGCAACAAGAGAAGAACATGCTCTGTCGCAAAGGAGTCTGAGGGGGAACAGATGAAACTGTTGCTTGAAGGGTTGTTAGACGGCAAAAAGAGCCTCCTGGTGCTCGATGGCTACTTGACACACCAAGAATCTCACACGAGAGCTTTGGTAGCATGTATAGGATGGCGGGATGCTGACAGGCAAAATCGACGTCTTGTGGTGGTGACGTCAATGGCTTCTCGAGGAAAGACCTACGATGAAGAGGATCGAGAGTTGGGGCTGAAGGAGCACATAGTTCCATCATGGAGGATCGATGAATATCTAGAGGCAGTGCAGTTTGACGAGTTTTACAACAAGGTGGCTCCCACCTTGGAAATGAATGTGACAGGAGAGGTTTTGGGTTTCAAGATGACTACACGGCCGAGATCGAAAGAAGAGCGAGTGAGGCATAAGCACTACCTCGCAGGTGGGTCATGTCGGTACATGTTCGACATGACTGCGGCGGAGGTCCTGCGGTCCTTGGATCTTGCGCTTTTATGTGCTCCAAACTTACAAGATCTTTTTCGGGGCCATGTAGGCGCTTCCTCGGGGGATCTGACGAACAGGCTGACTGCTACTTTGGTAACTCAGGAGAAGGTGGTCAGGTTTCCTGTGAGCAAGTACGTAGCCAGCAATCTTGCGGCGTCCGCGGGTGCGGTTGACATACTGAGAAGAATGTTGACGGCCTTTAGAGGCCCGCGAGCCATGCATGGGTATCTTTTGGAGATGCTCTTTTTCGAGGAAGTGAGATGAGACCTGAGCATAACTTACCGTGGATCAAGTGAGCCTGAAGTTTTGAAAGCATGCAATCTCGTTGTAATCTTGAATCCGTCACAAGACACGGACTCTCTTCCCCACACGAGGGTGTGTCTCAAGCCAATCAGTGAATTTCAAGGTGGCTGGGACGCAATCATTGTAGATAAGGATGACAAGGTCGTGCAGTTTTTTCAGCTGACGGTGGCAAAGGATCACTCTCTCAAGCTCTCGTATTTCTTGACAGCTCTTGAGGCTCTGGGGATTCCTCCAGGTGGGACGTGGACGATAAGGATCGTTTTTGTCGTTCCGCCGGAGGATGGAATGTTGTTCCGAATAGCCTCTGTCAAGGATGACGGGGCGCTAGAGCAGTACATGTGGAAGAAAGGGGAGGAGCGGTCAATGGTCCAGGTGGCGAGTATTGATTTCAATCGAGGATACGTTAGTTAGTGATGGGTGGCGAATGAAGATGTCAGGAACTGCTCAGATGGCTGAAGATGCGAAGGAAGTAGACCACTCATAGCGTGTTCTGAGGCTGAGCTGTCATGCTCACGGACAAGGGGGGATGTGGATAATTTTACTCACAAAACTGAAATACAATCCAAATTCACCCATGTAAAATATGTTTGGGTAGTACCGGCCATCACTGAAATCCATAACTTGATAGACCAGCCTCGCCTCTGCTCTTCCTCTGGGTGATGGAGGCAGTGCAGGCGCCGCTGGGGGCTCTGAGGCTTCCGAAGCAGGGGCTGCAGGGGGAACTGACTCAAAGGCTGACTCGCTGACTCGGGTGGGTAGAGATCCACTGCATAGCTGCCGTGAGCCCGGGAAGAGCTTCCTGAGCTGGGGATAACTGCGCCCTGCTCAGGGGAAACTCTGCATCAACCGCCCTGTGACTGAAGGCTTGGGGGGGGATACAGGGAGGTCCGCCCGCAAGTTGAAAGAGAGCGGGCGATGGGATCTCGCTGCTCAGACGTGCGCTATCAGCTCGCCGAGGTCAATATATTCTTGCGGCACTCCACGGTCAACCAGGGCCTGATGCACCCGCAGGAAGGAAGGCAGTAGGGGAGGGAGGACCAGATCCGGCTCGTCCGCTTGACGGAGGGTACCATCCAGCCCAGAGAACAGAGTAGGGGTCGAAAATGTCCAGGTCTGCACACAGGGTAGAGTAGCGCTCCATGGTAAGAAGCTGGCCGTGGCGATGTAATAAGGTGATAGACTAACGCTGCTTGAGGTGTGAATCCATCTCCTCCCTTCTGATATGGAAGCTGACGCTTGAAGATGGCAAACTCCATTGGGGACAAGACTGAAGGGCTGGCCAAGCTCAGGTCGACGTCCGAGCCTCTGTCAGACAAGGGCAAGGTTTTTTGTCCTGAAGAACACTCTGATCGAAAGCAGCACATGCAGTGTGTTCGGGGCGCTATGGCGGGGAGTTTAGGGGGTGCTGCATGCCATGGCAGGTGTCATGCCACAGATGAGAGAGATGACCAGCATTCGAAAGTGGCACGGTGTGCCTTTGTGCACAACATGTGTTGCAAGGTTCAAATACTACAAGAATTGCAATAATCTTGAGCAGACTTTGCTCTCTAAATGGGACGATACCTTGTTTTTCAAACTGTTGGATTTCTTGCAATGTCATGGGCAACCAAGTACCTCGAATGGAGTCTTCGTTCTGTATCCTTGAATTTCGATTCCACTGCGAGGCCCATTGGAAGTTCCTGGATATGCAACGTATCTCGACCAGCGTTTCTCTTGGGAGACGTATGATCCCTGATGGTGTGTCCCCTCAGTGTGCCCAGTTCCGATGGCACACCTTTGAATGCCGGCGAGATCCACAGGTTCTTAGCAACGAGTACAAAATGCAATAACGCGCCGAAGAACCCACATTTGTACCTGTCCTCTTGAATAAAGGCCGTGAATTTACATGCTAGTACGCTAGGGTGCTGGGCTCTGGTCCCCAAAGATGCTATCTACGATCTTTGCGGCCTGTAAGGTGCTTTCCACATGATAGACTTGTCGGCTCTATCGACTGAGTCTACTATGAGTCCCGGCTCCCTCAGCTTACGGTTTTGAGTTGATCCTCTTGTCCAACGATGAAGCAGGTCTCATCGGTGCCTTGAGTCGCGGTGTAAGTCTCGAGATTCCGCTCGTGGTTCCTCCATGCTTGCACGGCTTTGGACTCTGCGCTCCATTCGCTCAGAGCATCTTCAAACTTGGCAGGTCGCGTCTCGCCTGTCGGGTGCATGTACGGTGTGATTCCCTTTTGTCCCCCAAGGATGCAGTATCGCAATCGTTGGCAGGTCGACCCCTCAGCGCTAGAATGATCCCATGATGGCTGGTGCAGTACTTAGTAGGCATGCAAAATGATACGAGCATGTCGACTGGAGAAATGACTCTAGAGTATTCCGTTGCAAGCTGGTTTGGAGAGCTTGAGTTTCAATTCCAACGACAAAGGATAAGTACTCAGTCTTGGTATTTCTTGATCATTTTTCAGCATGAGTCGATCACGTGGAAGCAAGCAGTTCGTGGGTTCTTCGAGACTGTGTACAGAAATCAGGGAATTTGTAAGCAAGTCTTGTCTGACAATGGAAGCATTTTCAATTCAACATTTTGGGACGAAGTTTTCAACCTGATGGGTATTGACGTTCGACATTCTAGAGTATATTATCCTCAATCCAATGGTAGAGTTGAAAATTCAACAGCATGATTGTGGATGCGTTACGAATTTTCTGTATGAAATATCCTCACAAGACTTGGGATGTCTACTTGACTCATTCGGAGACCGTTTGGAAATCTACAGTGCGTAATGCCTCAGGATTGACTCCATTTGAGATAATCAATGGTTGTGAGATTAAGGACGTGTTGCTCGAGATGCGATGACTATCAGTGCAGCAAGTGATCGGATACAGAAAGGAGGTTGTCGAAACAACGCAGGTCTTAGTATGAATACAAGGTTGGAGGCAAGGTAATGTTATCTACCCAGGATTTGAAGTTGCCAGAGACAGTACCCAAGATGATGAGAGAAAGAAGGAGAGAGAAAGAAGGAGAGAGAAAGAAGAGGCCCGGGCCGTACTGTACGGTACTCCGAGTAGAGTCCGACGGCGTAGTCCCGGCCCCAGGTCACCGGGTCCGACGGCCGCGCCTTGCCGAGTTGGCGGCAACCGTTGAACCGTGAACCGCCGGCCCGGAGACTCCCGGCGGCCCCGAGAGTTCGGAACTAGAGTAAACTTAAAAATCATTACGGGTCTCGATTACTATACACGATCACGGTGGGGAAGAATCTGGTAGGGGTGGGGGCAGGGGAAGTCTGGGGTAGGGGGTGGAATGCCCGACCTCAACTCACTGAGGCTTGGGATTTCCAGGTAGAGGTAATAGGGGTGGCTGTTGACTTTCGAAACAAGGGGGGTGGTAATCTGTGATTCACCCAGTAAACCTCTTACTTTTTTTATATCTGGACCCCTACGTTGTGTACCCCTACCCTCTCTATTGCTATTGCCTACGACACCACCCCCTATCTCGATGCTGATGTCCGAATTGCTCGGAGTTACCATGATGTCGCTCATGTGGGAGCGTAGCAGGTCGTAGCACCTCGGGACTGACGCCCCCCCCCTGTGGTCGGGCGGAGAAAGCAATCAGAGGCTGCACACAACCCCCGGGGTGAACCGCAGCACACCAGAAGAAGAGATAAGACAGTGAGAGCAGGTAGCAGACGCGTTCAACATGCAGGGAACCGTTGTGGCGTCAGTGCTCAAGAAGCGAGGAGAGAAGAATGTGAGGAAAGTGGAAGAGGAGGAGATAGAGAAGTTGATCAAACATCCGGTTGATACGTTGGTACATGACGTCAACGAGGTGGAGGGAGTCCTCAGGGACACAGAGTTACAGAAGCTCTTCGGGCTAAGGAGCAGAACCGATCCTGTAGTTCGCAGGGAGATTCAGATTGACGGGCTCCTGACCAAAGTACGCGAGAAGCTATCTCGTTCCTCCTCCTACGTGCGGCTATTCGGAACGTCAATCTTCTTCCTCGTCTACGTCTCCTTCCTCTTCATGCAGCGAGACATCGAGTCGTCCTACTATGTGGAAAGCTCTGTCATCGACCTTGTGGGGAGCAACCTGCCCATGCTGGGCAACGGAGGATACATGAACTCAGGTCTGGGTTCGACTGGATTTCTGAGCACATCAGAAGATTTCTACTCCTGGTAGGCGACCATGTGCTCGTCCTTACTCACGGACATTTCAGGTTCCGCGGGATCGCTCAAGTGGTCTTCAGCGATCCTGTGTGTGGGGACGGGACATGTGATGGGCCGGACGAGTATCCGGGCTTCGGGAGGTTCGGATGTATCAAAGACTGCGGCAAGTACAAGAACGTCACAAGTCTCACCATCACGCTAGAGGACGTTGTGAAGCGAAGTAGCAGCGAGCTTGGTATCTCTCTCAAGGACTCGGAGCTCGAGGCGGACGCGTCGAGGGTGCGATTCTTCTACAACATCTACAGCGAGACCATGGGAGACTTTCTCTTGGAGAGCGACACCAACGCTACTCAGCTGACGTTCGAGGCTCCAGACGGAGAGCTCACGCTCGTCCTCTACCAAGAATCTTCTGTAGAGGAGCTGGTGGAGAATCAAGCTGTGACTTCGCTGTATGGAATTACGCAGAGGTAGCGATATTCGTGTATGCTGAGCGAGCTGAGAAAGTTTTACAGCTCCTTCTCACGTCTACCAACGCGCAAGACCGCGATCGAATACGGAAACTTGCGCGAGGTCATCAAGAACGCTGTGTACGGGGAGAACGCTATCAAGACTTTGTGTCGCTCGCCGCTGGAGGCTCAGGTTGCCTTCTGCGACACGTTCAACCCGCAAGGTACAGAGCATGGAGAGGGGCGGAGGGCTCTGAAGATCTGATGGGCAGACATGGGCTACCTTTTCACCTCCAAGTACGGGGTCAGCGGCAGGATCGACCTCAAGGACTCAGTGACTGGTGTGTTGGAGACTATAGTGAAGGTATGCTTTCGGCTAGGTCTTCCTATAGTAAATCTCGCACAGGTGGGTTACTGCAGCATTCTGCCCAATGTCAGCGGAAGCCCGTATGCACAGGCCAACAAGGCAACAATCGTTCGGTCAGGGTCCAGCTGCGACGGGTCTTCCGGGACCCGACGCTCTCGAGAACGCGAGGCTACTCCAAGGAGGCAGCTGCTACAAGCTGCTACTCCCATCATGCCAGCCTGGCAAGACGAACTGGACGTAGGTCCAGCTGAACCCCAACATCGACTTGCATCTTCTTCCTTGCACACAAGCGCTCAGCGTGAGGATGTACGGAACAGCCGGGAATCTGCTGGGAACACGCACGGATGGCTACCGTCGAGGGCTAACAAGCAGTCACTGAGAGCTGTGTCAAACTGCCCTAACACGGGTCAAATTCTTACAAGCGCCGCTGGCTTCTTGACGTCGGGCTACACCACCTACAGTTACAACACTGACTGCTCTTGGACCATCGCGTCTCCGAGCAACAGCAGCGTGACTTTGACATTTCAACGGTTCGACGTGCAATATCATAGCTCATGCAAGTACGACAAGGTGTATATCTACTCCTGTACAAGTGTGAGCTGCTCGCCGTCAGCCTTGCTCGCGACCTTGTGCGGGAGCTTGGATCAGATCAATCCTCAAGTCACGTCCCCCACGGGCATCATGAAGGTGTCCTTCAAGTCGGACAGTAGTGTCAACAACCAAGGCTTCTGTGCCACGTGGGGTACCGGTTCTGCTTGCCCTGTGAACCCTGATACCCCCGTGTTGAGGAGAGTGCTACATATCCTGAGACCTTTGCACAATGAGGGCCTGTACGGGGTTGCCATGGCAGAGGTCGAGGTAACGAGTCCTTCCAACTCCACCTACATGCGTTATGCTCTTTCAACCGACGCTCAGCCGACTCCTACTTGTGACTGCACCGACTGGCGAGATTCTGCTACCTGCCCCAATACTGTCAGGAGCGGCTCTAAGATCCTGCTCTACTACGAGGGCGCGACCTCTCGGAAATACTTTCGGGTCAGAGTGATTGCATGCAACCAGTACCCTGAGGTTACACTGTCCAGCCCTAGCTACATCTACTACGCTACCTACTTCCTAGGACCTCCAGCTGTCAGCTTGTCTTTCCTTGTCAACATGCCAGCACCCCCAGCTGACAGCACAACTGACCCCATGGACGGCATGCCGTCGCCTGCCAACTCCTCTACCAACCCCGGCAACAGCTCGTCGGTTTTGAGCTCTGTGTGTGGAAACATCTCTGTCGATGAGGTTTGGAGGAAGATAGTCGAGGACATTCTCAACCAGACTCTAGCTCTCCCCCAGCAGGCGACCTTCAATGTGACGTACCAAGACTCCTCCGTTAACCTGTCGAGTGTGGTGTTTGCGACTTCGAACGTCCATGTGGCAACCATCGTCAACCTTCTGCTTGATCATCGGCAGAGGATGCAGGAGGCGCTTGGTCGCGCTTGTCCCCTCCTCAACATTCAGCAAGAGATGGCGATCCGTACCAGCTGGCTCTTCAACAAGGGCGCGCGAGGTGAGAAACAGGAATTTGGTCTTGTCAGCCATTGACAGCTGAGCTGCAGGTGGTGCATGTCAAGCTCACTACGACTGCGATGACGGACTGTTCTGCGTAAAACCAAGCTCGTCAAGCTCAGAGGAGTTGGGAACCTGCGACATCTGCAGCTTCTGCAAGGTTGACGCCAGAGACGCCATCGACAACAGATGTCCCTTCCTCATGTGTCCAACCTCAGGCAACTTCCCCGCCTGCAGCAACGCGGAGCGGTTCACAGCGAGCGCCACGTGCCCGAGCGACTACAAGTTCAGCGTGTGGGAGTACCGCAATGCGAGCGAGGGCCCGCCTAAGATCGTTCCTCCCTTCGAGCCCAAGAACCGTGAGATTACTCCCTACAACAGGATCGTCGGCGCCATCGTGATCTCACAGAGAAGGATGAAACCGACGTCCTGCGCTCAGAGCGTGAACAAGCATGTTCAAAGCTTCATGAAGTCAGTAGAGGGCGTCGTTACCTGCCCTTCCTCTACCCTCGATGACACACCCTTCGGGTACGATCCGTCCTTCATGTCCTTCAGCAGCATGTACAACCCGAAGCTCTTCCCCGAGAAGTTCTACGCGCCCCTTGAGAGACACGTGATCGTGTCACAAGGAGAGACAGACCTCTCGTTCCCCATCGGCTTCTACCCGCACAAGTACGACACCAACTTCTTCGATACGAACATGGACGGCTTCATCTCTGAGGAGGAGGCGTCCATCAACGCCACCAGCTTCAAGGTAGCCTACAAGGACCGCAAGCTCATCATGCCGTCTGAGGCGGACACCTTCAAGCTCTACTTCGACGAGCGACTGACGCAGATGCTGGCGCAGAGCATGATTCAGTTCGCAGAGGACGGGTCCTTCATAGACTCGCAGACGGAGGAAGTACAGGTACAGTTCCTGACCTACAACGCTCCTAAGAACATCTTTGCCCTGCACGAGTTCATTTTCACCTGGCAGAAGACAGGAAGGATCCCCTGGGACTACAAGGTCAACTCCTTCTCCGTTGACTTCTTCGCGGGGCCCAAGGCCGTGATGCAGATCTTCTTGTTCGTCCTCGTCGTCGGGTTTCTCCTCATCAACAGCTACATGGAGGTCACAGAGCTGCTCGGCGAGATCCGCAAGTACAACCTGACAGGTTACCTATCGCATCCTTTCAACTGGATCGACTGGACGCACTTCGCCTTCATGTGGGGGACTATCATCACCTGCCTCCTCCACTACTTCGACTGCCGCCAGTTCTACATGAAGTCCAACTACCCTGTGCTCTTCTACGGGCCCCAGTACGGCTCGACAGGGCAGCGCAAGGGGATCACAACTGTGCAGACAGGAACGGGTTTCCAAATTCCTCTGCTCAAGTCAGGGAACGCCAAGGCAAGGCACTTCCGAACAGATAACCAGGCAGAGATGGACCTGCTGCTGCTGCTGGAGCAGGCGAGGACGGTCTCGGGGTCGATGAACCTCTACTCCTTCTTCGCGGGAGTCAGCGTCGTGCTCTTCGTGCTGCGCATGCTCAAGTCTCTTGACTTCCAAGAGCGCATGGGCCTCGTGACTCGCACCATCGCACGCGCGTCCAGCGACCTCTGGCACTTCATGCTGCTGTTTGCTGTCGTGTTCTATGGCTACTCCGTGGTGGGACACATGCTGTTTGGTCATCAGTACGAGGTGAGAACGAGGAGCGATGAGGGAGGAGGGAGGAAGCGGAAGAAAGAGGAGGAGGTGGTAAGAGGAGGAAGACAGAGGAAGGAGAAGGCGGCGGGAGGAGGAGGAAGGTGGAGGCGGGAGGAAGAGGAAGAGGGAGGAGCAGCAGGGTAGAGGGGAAGAGGAGGAAGGAGCTGACAAGGTATGATGTGACAGGGCATGAAGGACATGTCGACGGCTTCTCTGACGCTCCTCATCTTCCTGCTCAGTCTCGACACGACTCAGTTCTACGCGTCGGTGAGCGAGCAGAGGAGGCGCGGGCTGATGCTGACATGCAGCCTTAGATGTCACACGCAGCTCCTGACGGTGCGTTTCACATCTTTCTGTGGTCTTATCTGTTCATCGCTTTCTTCATCCTGCTCAATGTCTTCCTCGCCATCTTGGTGGACGCGTACGCCAAGGTCAAGGAGGAGACGGAGGGCACGACTGGGCTGGTGGAGGACCTGCTGGAGACTCTCTGGCATGGGCTGAGGAAGGCGATAAGGATGCAGCAGTTCGTGTCGAACCAGAAGCTGGAAGAGGCGCTTGTGAAGGAGCGCGAGACGTTGACGTCCAAGGAGAGCCAGCGTCGCATCCTTGAGCGGGACCTTGAGGAGGAGAGGCTGGTTCTGCTTCCCGGAGGCGTCTCGCTCGACACTCAGGACCTTGCTACGATCGCTCGACGAGCGTTGGAGATGGAGAGAGACAAAGTTCATCCGGAGGAGGAAGAAGACAGGGAGCGGGATGACCCGATGTTCAACGAGGACGAGATCGTGGCGTCTGCTGATCTGATGAACCGCTACGGCATGGAGCCATCGGAGATCTCGGAGAGGAGGAAGAGCGAGCTGCTGGAGCTTCATGATCTTGAGGGCATCCGACGGCAGATCGGGACGCAGATCGGACAAGTCAAACTTCTGGGCAGCCAGCAGCGAGTCCTCGATCTCTTGACAAGCATAGGGAAGGAAATCGCCCCATCAGCCATCGCTGCTGCCATGGCGCAGCAGAAGGAGCAAGAGCAAGATATTCACACGGCAGCAGCTCCGACGTTGGTGAAGCTTTTGAGGGTAACGCTGGTACGAGCAACTAACTTGCCGAGGATGGACCTGATCTCGGGCTGTGACCCCTACTGCGTGCTCTTCGTGAACGCGTGCTCGGGTCTGTCAACGTTTGCATCGGAGGTGCTGCACAAGAACGTGAACCCCGAGTGGGAGCAGGAGTTCGAGTGGAGGATGACGAGTCAGACCAAGGTGCTCAGCGTCACCCTGTGGGACAAGGACGATGTAAGCGCCTGCCGGACACCTGCTGGAGCTGGCTGATTCATCTGACGGGTTTACCTTCTCAGGTGACGAGCGACGATCTGGTGGGGTCAGTGCAAGTGGACCTGCAGCAGCTGCCGGACGGCGAAGAGGAGGAGTTAACGCTGCCGCTGCACAACCACAAACTCTTCAAGAAGCTGCGCGAGACCCGCCTCGTGCTGAGAGTCCACAAGCTGATCGAGACAGAGTCGATGAAGGTAGGTCGAGCAAGTGACTTGTGCTGGTGCCTTACGCCGGACTAGATGACAGTGAAGATGCCCGAGAGGCAGGCAAACGAGGAAAAGGAAGAAAACGAGGAGCTGGAAGAACTGGAGGAGCTCAGTGCTGGAAGATGGAGCCAACGTAGAGTTAAGATGAGTTCCTAAATGATTCAAATAACAACGCGAGTGATGCGCAGCAGTTCCTTCAAGAAACCAACAGTATCTACAATAAGTAAACCTAGCACGTGAAATCTATTCTCCTTATATATAGTGGAATTGGTTAACTATGGAATCTGCCTCAGACACCTATTGTCTAATTACAGTCAGCACTCAATCAATCCTCTCATTCGCTCCCACTAGCACAACAATTGAGAATCTTTTTCACATTGTCTTCGCTGCAAATATCATCGAATCGACACATCAAAATCTCGAGTCATCTTCTTCATTTCATCCGTTTTAAATTCACGGGTACTCAACCACGACGTATCCCTTCCACTTGACCAAATATGATTACCTTTTCCACGACGTGCTAAAATTCGTTCAACTTTGTAATGATCTCTGTCTTGTTGAATCAATGGCAATGGTGGTGCCACTGAATTTTCCACATCAACGTCACGAACATGATACAATCTGAGCTTCGACACATTGAAAACTGTTTTCTTCAAATGCTGAAACCTTGCTGTAAACTCCAATCGAACTGAACTATCCGAAACTTTCTCACGTATCTTGAAAGGACCTATGAAACGAAGCTGCATCTTCGCCACTGTTTCTGGTTCGCGTCTGGGTGCCAGCAGTGCTGGTTCTTTTCGGGCTTGTGTTTTGTGTGTGATTGTGCAGCTTCTCGCTGTGGACTGTGTGCCAGGAGGTTCAGCTTGTTCCTGCTTTGTTTTGCTTGAGGCACTTTTTACCTTCTGCCAGTAAATCCTATACTCTCTCTGGTAACTTCAAATTTCATCTCTTACCTGCTAAGGGAGTTTCATTTCGGACGTCCCCATCCTCCTGAATTCTGCTTTGCTGCTTGTTGCTTGATTGCTTGACCCTTAGGCTGCTTGTCTGCGCGGCTTCGCGCTTGGGCTGGCGATGCCGCGTCTGGGTGCCAGCAGTGCTGGTTCTTTTCGGGCTTGTGTTTTGTGTGTGTTTGTGCAGCTTCTCGCTGTGGACTGTGTGCCAGGAGGTTCAGCTTGTTCCTGCTTTGTTTTGCTTGAGGCACTTTTTACCTTCTGCCAGTAAATCCTATGTGCTGCTTTAGGCACTTTGTACCTTCTGCGAGTAAAACTTCATTGCGCTCCTGCTACATGTTCAACCTCCTCCAGACACATGCTTGTCTGCCTTTCGCGCGTGGGCTGGCGAAAAAGATACGGATTTACTGGCAGAAGGTAAAAAGTGCCGGTGCCGAAGCCGGGTCTGCTGACAGTTGCCAGTCGTGCTGGTTACTTTTGGTCTTGTTTTGTTGTGTGTGCTTTGTTTTGCTTGAGGCACTTTTTACCTTCTGCCAGTAAATCCTATACCGTGTGTGTTTGTGCAGCTTCTCGCTGTGCGCTATGTGCCTTAGGGCCTGCAGGTTTAGCTTGTTGCTGCTTTGTTTTGCTTGAGGCACTTTTTTCTCCGTTTCTCCCGCGGGTCCAGTCACAGATTCGCCGCTTTGACCTCTCTGTCCACCTGGCGCTTGAGAAATACCACCGCTGGCCTTCCTCGCAGTACCTCTCTGCTACCGCTGACTCGGAGGCTAGCGAGGAGGACTACCTTTGTGCAGCTTCTCGCTGTGGACTGTGTGCCTGCCGGTTCAGCTTGTTCCTGCTTTGTTTTGCTTGAGGCACTTTTTACCTTCTGCCAGTCAATCCTATGTCAACCTCGAGCGGTACCGTGCTCCTGTGTCCAGCCTCCCTCCGTCCGCTGCTCCAGGCGGACCCCCGGGCAACGCCGGCTCCTTGTCGGCGGCTGCCCTTTCTCCGTCCGCGGCCGCCAGCTTTGTGGCGGCAGCGGACGTCTCGAATCCTATATCCGACTGACAGTGGTCAGTCGGCTGCCTCCGGGTATCGCGTCTAAGGGATTTTCTTCCTCCTGCATGCTCCTGCAACTTGTTGCTTGATCGCTTGACCCTTAGGACTACCTCGAGCGGTACCGTGTTCCTGTGTCCAGCCTCCCTCCGTCCGCTGCCCCAGGCGGACCCCCGGGCAACGCCGGCTCCTTGTCAGCGGCTGCCCTTTCTCCGTAGTATAGGATTTACTGGCAGAAGGTAAAACAAAGCAGGAACAAGCTGAACCTCCTGGCACACAGCCCACAGCGAGAAGCTGCACTATCACACACAAAACACAAGCCCGAAAAGAACCAACACTGCTGGCACCCAGACGCGGCATCGAGC